TTTGCAAACAGAACCTGGAGATTCCGAGAACTTAAAAGCAACTTCCCCAAGGTTATAAAATAAAAAGCTGTCGCACATAACCATTATTTGCTTAATTGGGAAGTCTGTGGTATCCTACTACTGTAGGTCCTTAAACAACAAAGCCAAACAAAAATAAATTTGATCAGTAAGAAAAAATTGACAATAAATTTATGTTTCAATTTAGTATACTACGCAAAACATTTTCTGAATAAACCAAGGTATTAAAGAACCAGATTTTAACACTAAAAAAAAAAAGTCTTTGACATTAAATTAGGTTGTTATTTTGGCCCTATGTGTGATTTCTGGCAACTTAATTTATAGTCTTGGAGTCTTGTATTTTCTTATTTGAAGGTAGGAAATGTTAGGTGTAGAGCTGTTTGGCAAAAAGCTGAAGATTAGGGTATGGGCGATGATTAACAAAGTTCCTCACGCGTGAACTCACTAAAACTGACACTGGGGCCCTAAAGGACGCTAACAAATATATTACAAATGCTTCCTTCCCTCCCCCCACCCACAGATTACCAGGAAAAAGTCCTGCCCCAAATCCCACCCAGGGCTTCAAACTTCCCCTTAACTTTATATCTTAGTAAAGATCTAATATAGATGAAAAACAGCTGATGCACATTCAAAGAACAAATACAAGAGTTGGCAGTTAGAAAAAGAAAATGGGAGGGGAGGTTTAAGGACCCTAAAAGGGAAGGAAAACACCCAGCAAAGTACCACCCACACCTTTGGAAACTCCCAGATAAAACTGTAACAATTATAAATGCCTTCCATTATCACTTGGCCAGAATAGTTGAGGTGTTTATCCAGGGTAGACTGATATGACAACTTGTCCCTTCTCATATCTGTACTGATTTCATGTGTTCCCCACTCAATCCATCTCCAGAGTCAGAGAGTGGGTCTGCTATAGGAAAATTACAAAGGTTGTAACTTGTATAGAATCCAGTAATACTGTACTTTTAGATGTGACCTCAACATGTGTTAGTTTTTCCATACTTCCATGCCTTTTACCTGTCTGGTCCATCCTCTCCTTCTCTAACAGATGTACTGCTACACGTATTTCCAGATACATCTCAAATCTCTTCCTGAAGCCACCATAATAGGGTTAGTTCTACCTACCTTTTGTCACCAGAGCACTTGGAATCCACCCTTATATTTGCTTCAATGCAAGATAATTAATTTCCTGAATGCTTGTTTGTAAGCTAGTGAGGTCCCCAAAGACAATGATGGTGTTTGTATACGTCTGAATTCTCAGTGTCCAAGCATTATTCTACTGTTGCTGCTACGAAAGCCACTTTGCCCAATCTTAACCTGTCTAGAGAAGCAAGTGGGGAATCTCCCGTGATTAAAAAACACTACTTCTTCATGAGGAGGAAGAAAACCATGCTCACTATTCTTTTTGGTTATTTATTGAGCATATCAGTTTTAAAATCATTAATTATGAAGCATTTCAGACCTGAAAGAAGCTTCACATTTCCCACTCCAAACTTCCTAAGGACTGACTGACTAGTCTAAGGCTATATAACCAATCAGCAACTGAGCTGGGCAGATTTGGGTGAACCATTCCCTTAATGTTCCTGACTGTATTGCTGCAATGATGTTTAATACACCCTAATTAGACCTTCATCCACAAACAAAAGTTACTACTCAGCTGTTCCGCAGAGAGGAACAGAGAAGTTGAGGTATGCACTTATGATATCTAAATATAAATCACAGTTTATAAAAGAAAGCCCTCTAATTAATGCTAGATGATCAAATTACACAGATTATCAATGCTGTGCATGCTAAGTAACCCTGCCTATTATTTTTTGTATCAGTATGAGCAATGATACTAACCTAGTCTTTTCACTGTTTCTTTAGAAAAAGTAATATACATTTTACAGATTAAAGATAGAATGAACAAGTAGCAAACTGATGAAATCTGAATGTTACTGCCAAATTTCCAGTATAATTTAGAAAGTATAATATTCAAATTATCATAAAATAAAACATAGATGGTAAATTTTCATTTTTATATTCAATTTTTCTTACAGTTTACATGTCAAAAGTTTGTAGTTCGCATATTTCTCAGTAAAAGCTCTGAAATAGAAAATCACAACTTAAAATTCCATTTTAGACACTGAGAAGGTAAACAATATAACCTTAAGTGTTCTCAGGACTTATTTGGTCATTATTCATTAAACTATCTTCTTTAAAAATCTTTTCAGTTAATCCTAGCAGCGGGAAAAGCATCTGTCTTTAAAGTTTTTCTGCTTTCTTTTTTAAATACTTGAGATTTCAGCTGGGTGTGGTGTCTCATACTTACAATCCCAGCACTCTGGAAGGCTGTGGCAGGAGGAGCACAGAGCCCAGGAGCTTGAGACTACCCTGAGCTGGAGACAGACTTCCTCTTCTCTTAAAAAAAAAAAAAAAAAAAAAAGCCAGCCGTGGCAGCCTACCCCTGTAGTCCTAGCTACTTGGGAGGCTGAGGTGGGAGGGTTGCTTGAGCCAGGGAGGTCAAGGCTGCAGTTGGCAGTGATTGTGTCACTGTACTCTAGCCTGGGTGACAGTGAGATCCTGTCTCAAAAAAACCAAACCAAACCAACCCAAGCCAAAACAAAACAAAAAGGCTCTGAGGTTTCAACATTAGCATTGAATCCAAAACATAATTTCAATTAATTAAAATGAATGTATTGGCTGGACAGAATGGCTCACGCCTGTAATTTCAGCACTCTGGGAGGCCGAGACGGGCAGATCACTAGGTCGAGAGATCGAGACCGTCTTGGCCAACACCGTGAAACGCCGTCTCTACTAAAACTACAAAAATTAGCTGGGCATGGTGGCATGTGCCTGTAGTTCCAGCTACTAGGGAGGCTGACACAGGAGAACTGCTTGAACCCAGGAGGCAGAGGTTGCGGTGAGTCAAGATCGCACCACTGCACTCCAGTTTGGCGATAGACAAGATCTTGTCTCAATACAAATGAATGAATGAATGAATGAATGAATGAATTTATTATTTATACATCCTTAATAACATTTAATGTATACTAATATAACTAGTAAAAGACAATATAAAAGTAGGCTTGGCTTGCAAAATTTCCTAATGGTTCTCAAAGAAATCAAGGTTTCATCAAAATTCAATGACTTGTTCACATACCTGAGACAATACAGAGAACTAACCATCTCCGAGTAATGAATGCAATTATGATTACGAATGTGAGGAGCGCTGGTGACCTCCACTGTCTACTTTCTTTCGAGGCTGTTATGTCCATTTTGCCCACTGCCTTAAAACTCAAAGAACTATGGAACACTGAAAATACACTGTTTCTTAATGTCAGGTTAAGAAATGAGATGAATTTTTCATTCAGGAATCTGTTTTTTTTTAACCTGTATAGTTCTTCTAAATATTAATGTGTAATTTAACTTTCACTGCTCTCACTGAATTATAGTAACAAATTACAAGCAAATTGCACTGTTACATGTTTTAGCAGTTCTGTCAGTTTTAATATGATTTCTGTTAATTTAACAGAAATCATCTGTTATACTGTTGAACCACCTACCCCTGCACAGCACACAACTGTTAAAATGTAAATTGCCCAACTATTTTTAGCTGCTGCTGAAAAAGAATTCCTGTCTTCGGGAATAATGATGTGAGGCATTGTGTTCATTTATCAAGCAGCTATTCAGCCTCTAGTGGGCCCAAGTGCCTATGCAAGCAAAAGCTTTTAAGAATGCCTGCAGCTGCAATCCAACCTTCCAGGTAGGCTGCAGGTTCAGAGCACAGCTGCCCTAGCCGTCATAAAACTCGGATCCATCTGGAACTGAGTTTCAAAGAGGATTTCAAATTCGACTTTTCATGTATCACACAGAAGAGAAGGCGGGGGAAGAACACAGAAAAGACGGAAGGCAAACAACCAAAAAGATGGTATCTGTACTTTAGCCTTAATAAAAAATAAAAAGCTCAGACCCTGCTGCTCCTTCTAGATTACTACTTGCCAAGCCGGATATTCCATTCAGTCTATACTTCGACGAGCTGACTCATCCGGCAGCACCTGCGCCCATGTGTTAAGTACTGCCAAATAAAAGCCCAACATCCATTTACACAACAAAAAGATGTACCCTACAAGGCACTGAGGCCTCAATCCAACAGCCTCCCTCCGCATTTGTTCTAAGCAAAGGGAGAAGAAAAAAAACTTCCTTTTTGCACCAGAGATTTAAAAACTGTAGGTGGATTTATCATGTAGGTTCATTTACAAATACTTTTACTTCTTTAAAGAATACAGTATAGTTAACAGGGCGCCCTACCGTATTAAATTATCATGGCCTTTAATGATTGTTCCACCAAACCTTTCCAACCTTCTTCTTCAAAGCCCTTTATTCTCAAAGGATACATTTTTGAGGAAAGAGGGATCAACAAACTAGTTGCTTGAAAGCTTTCCTGATACTAGGCTGAAGTTAGGAAAGGCTTAATGAAGGCTTTAAAACCCACAAGGGCTTCACAATGAACATCTGACTTGGTGATTTATGCATATGAATAACCTCAGTCCTACTGAGGCAAGCTGAGCCAAACATGTACTTCGAATCTTAATGTCTTTAGCTCCATTGGGATTATTACAAATGTAAATTTCTAAGATTTTCAGCTATTAATCTCTGTCTGTCCTCCTGTTCAGCAACATAATGACTAATTAAACATCAAAAGACCTGTATAGGAGATCATCTTTGACAGCTACCGACCTAGTCCTCTTCCCAAGAGGGGAATTCAAATGACAGGGACACAGAATAAGAGCATGTGAGTAAGCTACAAATCATTGTAGAGAAAATCTAAAAACCAAATATTAAATGTGGATTTACCTCAATCAATGATTTTGTTAAGCACTGAACAATTACTATGTAAAGTATGCCAACTGGCAACAATCAAATGCACCTTGTAGCAACCAAATACTGAACACCTTAAATCAGTTTGTTTACCATCAAGTTAAAAAAAAATAGGTACTTACAGAAGAAGGCAAACCAGGAGGCACCTTTCTGACTTTTTTTGCTTGCAAAGGATCTGCACATGGAAAACAGTACATTTCATCAGCACATTATACTGAAAAAAAAAATCTGACTTCAAATGAACAGAACTTTTTCCCCTAATGTCTTTCTTGTTTTCCAGTATTTGGGAGTAAGCAGCAAAAAACAGTAATGTATTGCTCCTTTCTTTTAACTAACCCCAGTAAAAAAACAGCTTCTCCAAATAAAGTGACACCTTCTGAAAATACATATCCCATGAATTTGGGAAGATGACAGCAAATGAACCAATACAAGAAATAAAACAAACTGGTAAATGTATGAGAGAACAGAAGGAGCATTTCTTAAGAAACTGTTCTGCCATGTGCAGTGGTTCACGCCTGGAATCCCAGCACCGTGGGAGGCCAAGGCAGGTGGATCACCTGAGGTCAGCAGGTTGAGACCAGCCTGGCCAACAGGGTGAAATCCCATCTCTACTAAAAATAGAAAAAAATTAGCTGGGCATGGTGGCGGGCACCTGTAATCCCAGCTACGCAGGAGGCTGAGGCAGGAGAATCGCTTGAACCTGGGAGATGGAGGTTGCAGTGAGCCAAGATTGTACCAGCCCAGGCAACAAGAGCGAAACTCTACCTCAAAAAAAAAAAAAAGCTGTTCTGTGCCACGTGCTACACTAGGGACTTTGCAGTTTCATTTGCAGAGGGGCACTTAGTGTAACACGTCATGTTAATAGTATGACTCTCTAACAGAATCATGTCTGGTTTTCTGCATTACATTGAGCATTACGCTTAAAAGTATATTTTGACAACCGAAAGCTAATGCTATGCTATAATTTGTTAAAAATTTGAAATAAAGGAATAAAATTAAGGTTATAATAACGTCAAGATACATGAACCACTAAATATGGGCGTCGACATATGCAATGTCATTCAGTATTAAGCACATTTACTTTTAACGTTATGTGGCTTCAACCACAACTACATCATTAATTATAATTTGACCCTGAATGTTAATATTTATTTCCAGGAAATAACTTGACAGAGAAAGTATATTTCTAAGATAGAATTTATCAATATAAATGAAAACATGAGTATTTTATATGTTAATCTGTCTCATGTGATGTAATTTTACTTATCTGTAAAATATAATAAAACCTGTCCATATGATTGACTGTAAAACAAAGTGATAAACTCAGCGTTCCAGGTTTACACAAATAATGGCTCAGATTCAGAATTTTCTGAGTGGCTCATTATTAGGAAGAGAGAACACAAGAGGAAGCTGATGTAAAGTTTATACTTTATACTTCTGAAAGCTGTAAACATGAGAATTAGTCACAGCACCATCACTCCTCAGTATCAGTGGGATTGGTTCCAGGATCCCCAAGGATACAAAAATCTACAGAGGCTCAAGCCCTTTGAATGAAATGATGTAGTATTTGCATATAATCTAGATACATCCTCATATACTTTAAATCATCTCTATATTATTATGTATAATACCTAATACCATGTAAATGCTATGTAAATAGTTATATATGTTGTTTAGGGAATAATAACAAGGAAAAAATAAGTCTATACATGCTCATGACAGACGCAATCACCCAATAAAAATTTTTTTCTTATCTGTGGTTGGCTGAATCCACAGATGAGAAACCTATGGATGTACAGGTGGCCTCAAGTGATCCTCTGGCCTTGGCCTCCCAAAGTGCTGGGATTATATCTTCCTGGGTCATCAATGACACCATACAATAAGACACTGAATAAAGGAATGAAATCAAGGTTATAATAATGCCAAGATATGATACATGAACTATTAAATATGGGCACTGACACAGGCAATGTCATTCAATCACCCATCCATGTTTCAGAGACAGGATCTTGCCCTGTTGGCCAGGCTGGAATATGCAGTGGTATGAGCATAGCTCACTATAGCCTTGAATTCCTGGGCTCAAGCAATTCCCTTGCCTTACTCTCCTGAGTCGCTAGACTTTAGGTGGGTGCCACTGCGCTCAGCTAATTAAAAATTTCTCAATTTTTTAAATAGTGTTTCACTATGTTGCCCAGGTTGGTTTTGAACTCCTGGGCCCAAGTGACCCTTTGGCCTTGGCCTCCCAAAGTGCTAATATTATAGGCATAAGCCACCATGCTCGGCCCCAGTTTAAACTGTTGTTTAAATTTTGGGCTGGGAATTTTCTACAGTGAATACCCCAGGAGGATGCAAAGCTAAAAAGGCAACTTTATATGTAGCATATGAAGAAAACTGTACACAAGAGCCAAGGGTGAAGCATTCATTCCCTACCCCAAAAGGCAGGCCTGTATTTCCTTAAAACAGAAGTACCAAAGATAAACAACAGCTGGCACACTCTGTATTTGTAAAACCCCAACTACTCATAACGAATACAGTATTCCCTTGAGCAAAAGCCACACTCTTTGTACCAAAACAGTCAACTGAACTGCTCCTACCAGTTTAGAGCCTCTCATTCTACTCTGAAGGCATTATTAGTAAAGGATGTTGCTACTTACTTTAGGCCAGGTTTTCCATTGCCATGAGAATAGAAATTTTTCTATTTGGTTACCTACCACCACACAATCAATATAAAATGTCTGATGTAAAATCATGAACCTGGGATTCACAGATCACGTCTGGGAGGTTGCAAAGTGTCACAGTTAAGAGATTGCTGGGAGTGCTGGCTCACGCCTGTAATCCTAACACTCTGAGGGGCCAAGGCAGGCAGATCACTTGCGGTTAGGAGCTCAAGACCAGCATGCTACCATGGCCAACATGGTAAAACCCTGTCCCTACTAAAAATGCAAAAATAAGCCAGTCATGGTGGCATGTGCCTGTAATCCCAGATACGCAGGAGGCTGAGGCAGGAGAATCACTTGAGCCTAGGAAGCCAAAGCTGCAATGAGCCGAGATGACACCACTGTACTCCAGCCTGTGGCACAGGAGCAAAACACCATCTCAAAAAAATAAAATAAAGTAAGAGGAGGCTGGCTGGATTCTAATTTCAGCTCCATCATACAGCAGTTAATTACTTAACTCTCTTTGATCTTTAGTTACCTCCATGTAAAAAAGGGGGTAACACATGGTTTTCTGTGTGTTTCATGTACTGTGTTAATATATGAAAGACGCTTAGGGGAGTGCCTAACAAAAGCATGACACTTAACAAATTTTAGCCATTATTATTAGGTTTCCATTCAATTGTGGGGAAAAATTACTATAAATTGGGTAATTAGATACTGTTGTAAAGCATGTTGATTTCCTAAAGCACCTAAATAGTTTGTGAAGATGCTGAGGTTGATGTAGATGATCTCGAGTCCTTTTAAACACTGAGACTTTATCAATAACTGCAAATGCTAAGAAAGAATGGCTAACAGTGAGAAACAGCTTTAAAGAACGTATTAAGAACCCACTAAATGACATTTACACAGGAGATAGGTGGCCGACCCTGGGCATCAAGAGAACTACCACATCCCAACCCAGTCTTGGCCAAGTTATTGAGCTTCTCTGGGTCTTGGTTTCTCACTTGTAACATGAAGTTACCATTACAACCTCATAGAGGTTTGTAAAAATGTAGTGTGTACAGCTCAGTTCCTGGCATGGAGGAGACAATCAACAGCGTCTATCATCATAATCAAAATGAAAATAAAGAAGATATAAATTTTACTTTATAGAAAAACCTGGATTTTAAGTTTGGATTTTTCTAAAATTTACTCCCCTCTTTCCTAGTTATTTCAATAATTAATTTTCCCCTGAACTTAATAGAGTATTAGTTTGCATTAGTGCTTTTTGTCGCAGTATACACTCACAGAGCATACTAACAAGGTATTTTTCTAGGGTAACACTGACTAACATTGAATCTAGACTCTAATTAATGTTCCTATCCTGACTAACTCATTAGGTAGAAAACGAGACAGGAGATGGAAAAATGCATTTATAATTTATCATTTCTTTAATAACAAAAAGTGTACTGGTCTAAATCACCTGGGCTGAATTAACAGTATACATACTAAAACATCCACAATACTGAGAAGTGGACACATCTAATCAGAGTTCTTTACGCTGAATATGATGATCTGTCGTCATGCTCTTTTATACTCTCAAGCAGACCCTAGCACAGAGACCAGGAATATTTCACCAAAAAACAGATTAACAGAAAGTAGATATATAAATATGAAGCAATCAACAAATGTCTGTGCAATAAAAAGCTGACATACTTTGGGAGGCCGAGGCAGGTGGATCACGAGGTCGAGAGATCGAGACCAACCTGGTCAACATGGTGAAACCCCGTCTCTACTAAAATACAAAAAAAAAATTAGCTGGGCATGGTGGCGCGTGCCTGTAATCCCAGCTACTCAGGAGGCTGAGGCTGGAGAATCGCCTGAACCTACCTAGGAGGCGGAGGTTGCGGTGAACCGAGATCGCGCCATTGCACTCCAGCCTGGGTAACAAGAGCCAAACTCCGTCTCAAAAAAAAAAAAAGCTGACATAATTTTTTGGTGGACTACATATTGGAAGCTGGCCTATTTTTAATTTAAAAATGCTTTGCAGGTTTAATTTAATTTTCTTATTTAAAAGATCTTTGGTAGAGATGACCAAAAATTCTGACATTTAAACACAGTTTGGATAAAGCATTAGAGAACACCTAAGGCTTGCCGTAAGCAGCCACGCAAAAGAGACTGGCCTCGTCAGGCTATGTACAAGACATAAAAGAAGGAAGCTAGTGAAAAAATAATGGGGTTTGAATGCTTCATATGCACAAAGTTTCCTTATGCAGTCACGTTTCAGAACTAGATAGGGTGATGGTATAATGCAGGGAATGTAGTATATGCTGCTCAACTGTACAACTTAATACGGTAAATTTTACCTCAGTTCAAAAAAACGTGGCGTGGGGAAGCAAGTAATATGCAAAGGACAATGAACCTGGAGTCAGAAAATCTTAAATTTTATTCTAACACTAATGATATGAATGTGTCCTCCCTTTGGACGCTCAGTTTTTATATTAAATCCAGGATTATATCCACCGACTAACAGGATTGGTGAATTGATGAGATGAGAATGTGTATAAAACCACCTTGCAAATTGTGTTGTGTCATTTTTAGTAAGGAATAAGGTATTAACATTAGAACATGAAATTCTAATTACAAGAATAAGAAGTAGTGAAGTCTCATTTTTACTTTACCAGTAAAACTGGTTGTTTGAAACTTGTTATAATTATGGCTTACAAATTGAACAGTCATCCAAAATTATTCATGGCCAAACCTTCCATTAAAAACTTATCTTATAATGCATTTATAAAAGTAATATTTTTGATAATTTCATTTATTAAATATCTAATGGATGTATTATTTTTGTGCAAATAAACCCTGACACCAATATGACACCCAAGAATCCAAATATCTTCTAATTAAAAGCATAGCCAGGGCAGGGCACGGTGCCTCACATCTGTAATCCCAGCAATTTGGGAAGCTGAGATGGGCAAGCCACTTGAGCTCAGGAGTTCAAGAGCAGCCTGGGCAACAATGGCAAAACCCTGGCTCTACAAAAAAATAAAAAATCAGCCAGGCACAGTGGCATGTGTCTACAGTCTCAGCTACTCGGGAGGCTGAGGTGGGAGGATGGCTTGAGCACAGAGGCTAAGGCTGTAGTGAACCAAGATTGTGCCGTTGCGTTCCTGCATGGGTAACAGAGTGAGATCCTGTCTTAAACAAAAAGGAAAAAAAAGCACACCAAGAAGTATAGACTAAGGAAAGAAACAACAACAACAACATCTGTGGGATGAGATCTGTTGTGCGATACACTCACCAAGCGCTGCAGAGTCATGAAGTGGTCTCCTCCTAGAACTTGTGGCAGAGAATGAATAGTAGGCTGTCCCTGGTTTTCCTGAAGAAGACAGCTGTGCTGGGCTCCCAAGCCCTATATCTTGTCTCAGGAGACTAGACTATAAAAGACCAAGGAAACAAATTATTTTCCTGCTGATACTGACCCAAACCTGAAAATTTCATCACTTATGAATTATTTATAGTAACTTCAGTAATGTCTTAACTTAGGAAGCACCCAATAAGTACTTTTTGAATTTAATTAGACCAGTGATTTCAGCCCAGACTTTCTCTTTTTTTCTCCACCCTCACATTGTCTGCTTTTTTTTTTTTTTTTTTTTTTAAAAACAGAGTTGTCTCAGTTACTAACTCAGGCTAGAGTGTACTGGTGAGATACTGGCTCACTGCAACCCCTGCCTTCTGGGCTCAAGTGATTCTCCTGCTTCAGCCTCCTGAATAGCTCAGATTACAGGTGCGTATGACCATGCCTGGCTAATTTTTGAATGTTTAGCAGAGATGGGGTTTCACTATATTGGCCAGGCTGGTCTCAAACTCCTGATCTCAGGCTCCAAAGTGCGAGAATTACAGCTCTGAGCCATGACACCTGGCCACATTGTCTGCTTTTTAATAATTATGTAGATCTATACAATCTTAGGGTTGAAAGACATTTTAGTGGCTGTGTGGTCCCACATTTTTTAATCATTCGTATTTTGAAAAATGGTCACTAGTCTTTGCTTTAATACTTTCATGAACACATAAGGCAGCAAAAATTCTGTTCTTCTTCCTTTCCTTTTTAGGGATGGATCCTGCTCCCACCCAGAATGGAATGCAGTGGCATGGTAACAGCTTACCATAGCCTGGAACCTGGGCTCAAGTAAACCTCCTGACTTAGCCTCCTGAAATAGCAAGAAGTACAGGCACATGCCATCACACACAGCTAATTAAAAAAATTTTTTTTGTAGAGATAGGGGTCTCCCTAACCTGCCCAGGCTGGTCTTGAACTCCTAGGCTCAAGCAACCTTCCTGCCTTGGCCTCAAAAAGAGCTGGGATTATTGGGGTGAGCTACTGCAGCTAGCCCATTCCTGCTTTCTTCACTTGTATCTCATGACACTGAGTTTGAGAGTCCTCCTCACCATCTCTTTTTTAACACTGTATTTGTTAGCTAATATTAAGAGGTTAAGAGTGGTCACATGCTTATGTGGGTCTTCATTTTGGTGCACGTGCTGCTATTAACTCATATCCCTTCAATGTTGTACTTGTATAGTTTGTGTTTTTCGGTCCCAAATACAAGACTTAAAGTTTATCTCTAATAAAATTCATCTTATTATACTTGGTCCATAATCATCCATCCTTTCCTATCTTTTTCAGATTCTTAGTCTGTCAACCAATGTATTTGCTAGCCTTTTTAATGTCTCAGGCATAGAAAATATGATTAAGAGAAAACCCATCAGGATGGCGAAGATGAGGAGAGAGACCTGAGGTAGTTAAGTGACATTATGAGACTGTCAAGTGCTTCATTTCTAATTCAGATTCAGCAGCCCTAACCTAGTAACCCAGTAACCCTATTACAAAACAAACGAGGTTAGTTGGGCAGAATTTTGCTCTGAGATTTCTGGTAGCTGAGATGAAATGGGATCATAGAATTGAAAGACAGGAGACAGAAAGAAGACCTCACAAGGAAGGCAGGTTGAAATACACTTGAGAAGATAGACACTCTCAAGTGAAAAGAGCTGTAATTCCTCTGGTACATTTACTAACCCCCCTCACCATGTGTTTACTACCCCTTACTGCCACCACCATACTCTCAGCAGTAGCTGTTTCAGCCACTGAGTATCACAAACGAACTGAGAAACAAACTTCAGCTCTGGTCAAAAAGAATCAGCAGAACTTTTGAACAGTAGCCCTAACTGCCCAATCTCTGCCTCCAGTCTAACGGTCAAGAAAAACAGTCATTTAAATGACTTTTCTTTGCTGTTTAAGCTTTTTAAAAAGGTGAGGTGGAATTTATATAACATAAAGTTAAACAGTGAATATTTTCAGTCAGTGGCATTTAGTACATTCATAATGTTGTTCAACCATCACCACTCTCTAGGTTCCAGAACATTCTCATCACCACAAAAGGAAACTCCATATCCATTAAGCACTTACTCCCCATTCCACCCTCCCCCAGCCAATGGCAACCACTAATCGGTCTCTATGAGTTTGCCTATTCAGGATATTTAACAAAAATGGACTCATACAATATATGGCCTTTTGTGTCTGTCTTCCCACATTTAGAATAGTGTTTTAGAAGTTCTTCTATATTATATAGCATGTATCAGAGTACTTCATTCCTTTTTAGGATAATATTCCATTGAATATGGATATACACAAACTGTTCATCCATTCATCCACTGATGGATGTTTTACTTGTTTCCAGCTTTTAACTACTGTGTATACTACTGCTATAAACATTCATACAAAAGTATTTGAGCACTTGTTTTAAATTCTTTTGGGTAAATAACTAGCGGTGAAATTGCAGGGTCATATGTGTAATTCTATGTTTAACTTTCTGAGGAACTGCCAAACTGTTTTCCACAGTAGCTGCACTATTTTACAGTCATACTCGCAATGTACAAGGGTTCCAATTTCTCCACATCCTTGCCTAGTTTCTGTTTGCTTTTTAAATTATTGCCATCCTTGAAGGGCAAAATGGTATCTCATTTGTAGTGGTTTTGATTTGCGTAACACTAACGACTAATGATACTGAGCATCTTTTCATGGGCTTAACGTATATTACAGTATCTCCTTTAGAAAAATGCCTAGTCAAGTCCTTTGCCCATTTTTTAAACTGGGTTATCATTTTGTTGTTGAATTGTATGAGTTCTTTACATATCCTGGATACTAGACTTATCAGATATATGAATTGCAAAATGTGCTCTCATACTGGCCAAAGTAATTTATAGATTCAATGCCATCCCCATCAAGCTACTGTTGATTTTCTTCCCAGAATTAGAAAAAACTACTTTAAATTTCATATGGAACCCAAAAAGAGCCCACATAGCCAAGACAATCCTAAGCAAAAAGAACAAACCTGAAGGCATCATGCTACCTGACTTCAAACTATACTACAAGGCTATACTAATCAAAACAGCATAGTGCTGGTACCAAAACAGACACATAGACCAATGTAACAAAACAGAGACCTCAGAAATAACACCATGCATCTACAACCATCTGATCTTTGACAAACCTGTAAAAACAAGCAGTAGGGAAACAATTCCCTACTTAAGAAATGTTGGGAAAACTGGCTAGCCATATGCAGAAAACTAAAACTGGACCCCTTTCCTTACATCTTACACAAAAATTAACTCAAGATGGATCAAAAATGTAAACATAAGACATAAAATCATAAAAAACCTAGAAGAAAATCTAGGCAATACCATTCAGTACACAGGTATGGGCAAAGTCGTCAAGACTAAAACACCAAAAGCAATGGCAACAAAAGCCAAAATTGACAAATGGGATTTTAATTAAACCAAAGAGCTTCTGCACAGCAAAAGAAACTATCATCAGAGTGAACAGACAACCTACAGAATGGAAGAAAATTTTTGCCATCTATCCATCTGAAAAAGGGCTAATACCCAGCATCTACAAAGAACTTAAACAAATTTACAAGAAAAAAACTAACAACGCCATCAAAAACTGAGCGAAGGATATGAACAGATACTACTCAAAAGAAGACATTTATGTGGCCAACAAACACATGAAAAAAAAGCTCTTCATCACCGGTCATTAGAGAAATGCAAATCAAAACCACAAGAAGATATCTCGTGCCAGCTAGAATGGCGATCATTGAGAAGTCAGGGAACAACGGATGCTGGAAAGGATGTGGAGAAACAGGAACGTTTTTACACTATCATGGGAGTGTAAATTAGTTCAACCATTGTGGAAGATGGTGTGGCGACTCCTCAAGATCTAGAACCAGAAATACCATTTGACTCAGCAATCCCATTACTGCGTATATACCCAAAGGATTATAAATCATTCTATTATAAAGACACATGCACACGTATGTTTACTGCACCACTGTTCACAATAGCAAAGACTTGGAACCGATGCAAAAGCCCATCAATGACAGACTGGATAAAGAAAATGTGGCAGAAATACACCCTGGAATACTGTGCAACTATAAAGGAGGATGAGTTCATGTCCTTTGCGGGGACATGGATGAAGCTAGAAACTATCATTCTCAGCAAACACACACAAGAATAGAAAACCAAACAATGCATGTTCTCACTCATAAGTGGGAGCTGGACAACGAAAACACATGGACACGGGGAGATGAATATCATATACTGGGGTCTGTCAGGGGGATGGGGACTCGGAGAGAGACAGCATTAGGAGAAATAGCTAATGTAGATGACAGGTTGATGGGTGCAGCAAACCACCATGCCAGGTGTATACCTACGTAACAAACCTGTATGTTCTGCACACGTACCCCAGAACTTAAAGTGTAATAACACAACAAAATTCCACATAAATTTAAAGATCAACATTTTCATTTTTGCAAAAAAAAGGCCATTGGATTGGCCCTGAATCAAGGCCAGCAGTTTGCTGAAGCTGTTGGTTTCAAGCAGGAGCCTAAAGAATTATCTTTCTATGGTCTGTTGGTCATTTCATAACTTCGGAAATGTAGTGGTCAATTCGTTAGAAAGAAACATTAGCCATTAAAAAAAAAAAGGCTGGGTGCGGTGGTTCACGCCTGTAATACCCACACTTTGGGGGGCCGAGACGGGTGGATCACCTGAGGTCAGGAGTTCGAGACCAGCCTGGCCAACATGGTGACACCCCATCTCTTTAAAAAAAAAAACTTATTAAAAAAAAAAGGTCATTGGAAGTTTGATAGGAATTGCACTGAATCCACAGACTGCTCTGGGGAGTTTTGACGTCTTAATATTAAGTGCTCCAATGGACTAAATAGCAAACGTATTTACATTTATTTACATCTTCTATAATTTCTTCCGGCAGTGTTTTTTAGTTTCCTGTGTACAATACTTCACTTTTAAATTAATTTTTAGTGATTTCCAAAGAAAACAAACAAAAAAAAAAAATTAAAGAAATTAAACTAATTCTTAGGTA